TAAGGACCCCAAAGCGTTTTACACATTCAGTCATTCACCCATTCACGCACACATTCACACACTACATTGTAGCCACAGCCACCCTGGGGCGCACTGACAAAGGCGAGGCTGCCGAACACTGGCGCCACCGGGCCCTCTGACCACCACCAGTAGGCAACAGGTGAAGTGTCTTGCCCGAGGACACAACGACCGAGACTGTCCAAGCTGGGGCTCGAACCGGCAACCTTCCGATTACAAGGCGAACTCCCAACTCTTGAGCCGATTTATGGGTGATTTAACCTGGATTTTATACAGATATGAATGCTGTACTTCTCCTTAACCTCCACTTTTCAAATGACTCACTGTATAAATTTTTTCTTGTTTATACGTTTTGTTAAAAAAATTATTTAAAAACTTGAACAAAACAAAACTTGAACAAAATGATTTAGCCTATGGTATGATGAGGAATGGGCGATGAAATATTTACTCAAACAAACAAAGGTGTTCAGAATATGGATGTTTTACTGTGTAGAGAGTATAGCCAAGCACTCACTGAGGAGTAAAGTAGTTAAAAAAAAACAATTTATTCAGGTCTGAAAAAGCTAGCAGGCTAGAGATGGTGGACAGTCATCAATATGAATACCTCGTGTGAGATATCAGGTTAGAATTTGTTTTATCCAAGGATCTGAATAAATATTCCCTTTACCCATTCATGCCTGTCAACAAATATTTACCTTTTTTCACATTAGACAACAGTAAATATGACAATGTCGCCCATGAGAAATTAAAACTGTTTCCAGACATAGTGTACCTAACATTGTTGACTTTGTTGATCTCATAAAGTGATAGCTTTAGACACCAGTATCCATTCTCAAATAGCTGCCCAGAGTTTGCACTAGACCTTATTTATGTTTGTTTTTTGAAATAAGGAAAAAATCCTTGGATGTCTATAGTGGACTTTGGGTTTGTGTGTTTTGTCTTACAGTAACATGTCTTACAGTAACATTCGACTTGAGCATGCTACACATGTTGTGCTAGTCCTCCACCTGGTAGTTGGTAATGTGTTCTTCTAGTTTTGTTCTTTAGTGGTGGTAGGCAGACAGCTAATACATGCATCACAACCACCTTCTGCTGCTAGTATCTCATTAAATAATAGTAAAGATTGGTAAAACATAGAAAATACATATTTTAAGACCATTCCTGCATAAATCACTGCTGTGCAAAGGTTGAATTGTCACTACACTTTTGAATGTGGGACCTCCATCATTGGACTCTTCAGCACATACTGTAGTGCAATAGGCAAATCATAATATAGTGTAAAGTTTCATAATACTATTATTATATGAATTAGTGTTATAATACCCGAGTGTTGGGTAGCTCCACCTAAGTAATGTAGCTAAGTCTGTGTAAAAATGGAGATCGCAGTCTGAGGTTTAAAGTTGCTGAGTGTGTGATGTGTGACATTACGGCACTGAATGTAACACTGCTGTGCCAGAACACCAGTGGAAAGTGGAGTCTTTGCTCCCCTATCTGGTTTTCAAAAACATCTTTAGGCGATTCAATTTTGCGAGACACTGATGGTGCCTTAGTTTTTTGGCAAACACACATGCTACACCTACTAGAAAGGAAGCAGTACCAATGGATCAGTCTGATATTTTCCTTAAAAATTTTGATTGTTAAAAGATGTTATGAAAAAAAAATATATAAGATGATTTAAATCAGCTGTAAATTTCTGATAAATGAGTTTGTAATCATGGGTTTAAACTGTTTTAACCTGGAACTGAGCTTGTGCCAGTACTAATAAGAAGATATGGCTGAACATATAAAAGTAGGACTTCTAAATCTAAATAAATGGTTTCTGATTATCTGAAATTATGTAGAGCTAAAATAAATTTATTTTTTTTAGGGTTTACTTGTCTTTTGTGACAAAGTAGTCAGCTTTATAGTTTTGCATAAGTTTCGTTACTTAAAAATATTTTAAAATTGTGTCACATAACTTCAAATAGATAGCAAATGGTCTTTAAAATGGAGGCATTACAAAGTACATTGTACAATACTTGGTACAGCAGCTTGAATTTGTGAATCCAGTGAGTGAATATGATGAACATTATCTCTTTGAGATAGCTGATCTGCACTGATGCTGCTTAACGGCATAATTAAGTATCTTTAGTCCAATGGTGTGGGTTTACATGGCAAACAATAGGTGTGAGTGTTTCGACACCACTACACCCTACCATTGTGTTTTGCCCTGTGTATCACTATGCTTTTGTTTTGCTCTGAGATCATTATGCAGCCGTCATCCTATTTGGCTTACATTAAGTCCTACCATTAACTGTATTATTTTATTCACAACACTCTAAATCAGTGTCTAAAATTTACTAAACACATCGTAACCATTGCTTAGACATTGGCAAACTCACAGCACTTACATCAGCCAAACACAACACCTTCATGTCCAGATGAAAGCTGATTATTTATTTTATGGTTTAAACAAACATATGATCTCTTTTGCTGAGATGCCAAGAACCAGAGGTGAATGGTTTAAAGTGCTTTTGAATAGACATCGACATATTTGTATTGCTAGTATAACACAAAATTACAAACATGACATTGAGCAGTTCAAAAGAGTGAAGTTGAATTATGAGTAACTTTATAACATTATAAAATCATTGTGCTTCTTATTCTTTGCTGTGGGTCAAACCAATTTTTCTGGATTTATTTTTAATTTTTTTTAAACATGCCTGATTAAACATTTTTATATGTTATTTACTGATGTGTGTCTCATATGGATAAAGAAGCAGTCAGGAAGGGTTCATGTGACTGCCCCTGAGCTTGTGTGGAGTTGGAACTTTCTTTTTCTTTTTTCTTTTTTTTTGAAGTCCTTGCTTGCCTTGTCTGTTTTTTAATCACACTACACAGGAAGACATCCATAGTTTTGCGTCTTGTTGTTTAAAGTAAAATTGTTGCAAGTTATGTGGTTATGTAACAAAGGATAAAAGCATTTAAAGCTCGGTGCACTTTCTCACATTCACACATCTGACCAATCATTGTGTGAAATATAATGAGAGGGTTTGCTGAAATGATCTGGTTTCTGAAAGTTCCAACAGGAAGTTTTTAGAGAGTATCATCCCCTTATCTCATTTCGCAGTTTCTACATATTTGATTTTTTTCCCCTCGCCTCCTCTCTGTGTGCGTCAGTCCCTCCTACCTCAGACACAGGAGGAAGAGATGCGAGGAGATAGGAGTCGAGGCAACTGGCATTTTACAAAATGAGACATTTGTGGTTGGCAGCCGTCAGTTTAAAGCAATGTCAATTAGCTATGACGGGTGGCACGGCTGCACCATGCTTTGCCTCTTGAATACACTTAATAGTGTTCCAAAAATTTTATAGATTCAATTTTATACACAATGCTAAATTGCAATCAAGCTGTACTTTGCATGTAGTGCTAATTAGGAAATGTAGCATGCCAACAGTACAGATGCAGACATCATCATGCCTCATATCTTAGTTTAAGAATGCCAGCAGATAATTAGACTTTAGCTCCAATCATCACAGTGATTGGAGCCTAAACACTGAACCTTCATTGTCTTAAATTCAGAACATCTGGGAAAAGAAATGGAGAATTTATAGAAAACTTGAAGATAGATGACTTCTCCAACACATGTGGAGCTGACGATCTTTTTTTTTTTTTGGCAAATGGAAACCTAGAGTCTTGTCCAACATATTTTCACTTTTGTTTTATTTGGGAAATCTGTTTTTAATTTTGAGGAGAAAAAAATCTCTCAACAGTTCCACCACTGAGAGATGGAGGCAAACAGTGGTCTTGGCCAGGCTCTATGCATTTTTGGACTTGGATAGTTTCTGATACTGAATTTTCAGTAATAAGGAAGAAGCATGTACGGCATGATTTGTCAAGTAATTGCATGGAACATGTTTCTAAGCCATTTATACATCGGTATGTAGTTTCTGCTGTGAGGAAACTGACAAAAGAAATGGAAAATTCAGGTTGTTTATGGGCACATTTTTGTTTTCATACCAATTTTCTAGTACAAAATGGACCCAGAATGGAGGTGATGATGATGATAATGCTGCTGCTGCTCATGTTAATGCTTTAAAATAACTCCTAATCATAATGCTACCTCTATTCCTGACTCGATCTCTCTTTCTTTCTAGATGCCAGGCCTTTTGTTCAGCCCTGTGTGTCTGACAGTCATCTGGTTTTTATCGTGGTCACTGTGTCCCAGTTGTGCTCAGATCTGGACCGATGAAGGTGAGACACATGCGCACACACAAACTGCATTTGAACACTTTGCGGAAAGACCTTTTCTGTTTTAACAAGAAGATCTGTGACAGTGCACTTTCAAATTCATGTGCAAACACATGTACTTAAACACATATATTGTGTTAAGGATCAGGGACAGATTCCTGTGTCAGCTATTTTGGGTGCTCTTGACTTATCTTGACTGCAAGTACTTGTGAGATATAAAGCTCCTGCAACAGAATGGAAGAAGGAAACATATTTTTAATTTCTTTTTTTTTTTTTTTAAACCCAGTGCATTTACTATGAAAAATGAAATTGTTAGAAGAGCCGTGACCAGAGAAAGTCTCATTACTCACTTTTGTTCCAACAAGAATTTTATTGTTGAGCCTTTTTGGCCTTAGTGCACAGATTTCTACAGCATTGAGATTCTTTCTTTCTCACTTTCTTTTTTTCTTAATTACTCCAACAAAATGAACAGCTTGCCCATAGACCTTCAGCTGAAACTGTCAAAATGTTTCCTTTTCAGTTCTCCTTTTTTCCCCTTCTTTTCCCTGCAGCAATTCCACACTCAGTTTTTATTGTCTGGAAAATACTAAGTTTCACACAGCTTGCAATTTCTGTGTCCACCCTGCCATCGGATTTCAATGTTAGGAGAGACCTGCAACCTTCCTGTGTGTGTGTGTGTGTGTGTGTGTGTGTGTGTGTGTGTGTGTGTGTGTGTGTGTGTGTGTGTGTGTGTGCCTATGCACGTGTGTCCATGTATGTGGGTATGTGTACTTAAATGCACATTTATGTGTGTGGTTTTATGTCTGTGTGCGCCTGTGCACATGTCTGGGTCCTCTTGCCAGAGGCAGAATCAGATATGAGTGGAACGCTGCGGGTTTGGGGAATAATGTACTTCACTGCCAATAAAACATGAATACACACATTCAGACCAGCCAAATCTTTGAGCTGCACCAAGGCCCCGGGTAGGACACATACATGCTCACACACTCACAAACGCAGAAACAGAGGGAGGATTTTGTGTCTGTGTGTGTGTGTGTGTGTGTGTGTTTTCAGTGGTTGAAGGGGAAAAGAAAATCTGGGTAAAGCTGTTGGGAGAGGCTCTACAAGAACAAAAGTGGAGGGAAGGAAAGTATTACACAGAAGATGAAACAATACGAAAAGATAAAGGTGAAAGGTAATATTTAACCTACTACGCTTGTTTTGTTATATGGACACAAGTGGGGTTGAATGATTAAACCTTTTTATATAGAAGTTACAGTTAAATGGCTACTGGTTTAGCTTGCAGGTTAAGCAGGTACCCATATCCCAAAAGGCTAAATGCAGCAGCCCAATCTCAACTTTTACCCGAGGGCCTTTGGTGCATGTATGCCCTCACACGCTTTCTCCCTGTTTTCTGTTCACTGCACAATGCACACGTATCTAATCAAGGTGGAAAGTCGAAATGCATAATTAAAATAAGAAATTGCAATGCAATATATTCATTACACATAAATTGAAATGTTGCATATCTTTTCTTTTATTTTGATAATTATGACTTATAGCACATGGAAATTAGAAATCAATTATCTCAGATTATTAGAACATTTACTAAGATCAATCAAAAAAGGATTTACCATAAAGAAATATATAACTTCTAAAAAGTATGTCTTATTTGCTTGTGGCTCCTTTACCATGAATCACTCAATCACTGCTGGGTAGCTTTGATAACATACCTTAGCTCACCTGTATTTTGGAGTTGGTTATTTCTCATCTTTCGGACAAATACCTCTGGCTGTCCAACAAAGCACAGTAGTGACATCAGGAAACAATTTGGCAGTAGTTTGGGCACCATGGGGAAATGCCAAGTCCTACTGGAAAAGGAAATAGTTGGCTTTAGACTTTGGATAAAACCAACCACCACCAACATCGGTTGATGGTATGGCACGCCAAATCATTAAAGACTCCAGAAATGTCAGTCTGTACTTCAAACACCTTGGATTCTGTGCCTTCAAGTCTCTAAGACCTTGATCTAGCAATTGTAAAAGTAAAGTATTTATTTATTTTTCAGAAATCTGTAGTTTTGTTTTTTGGATTTTTTTTGTTTGAGTTTTGCCTGAACCCTTACAAGCTTTTTTTCTTTTAATGTTTCCAGATCTTACTCATTAAGTTGTTGATTGAAGAGCAATTAAACTGATCAAATTAATTCAAACCGTAAATAACAAGATGCAGGCTTATTTTTATTTCCATTATTGAAACTGGAGAGCGTTTTTCTCATTTTGAAAGTTTTAGATGTATCTTTCTATCACAGCTCTGTTTCTAATGTCACTCAGCTTTGTACTCTCCTCTTTGAGCATTTATCTCCTACGCTCAAAAATATAAATGCAACCACAAAGTCACTGTGGATCATTGTTCCTCTTTTCCCAGCGGTCTCATTTTGCACAGCTACTAACAGCAGGAGTGCCAGTGAAAACCAAATATTGAAACTGCTGTCAGTAAAGTCGTCATCTTGAGTATGTGTCAAATTTAATTTAGGATTTACTTAGTTGGTCCCCAAAGGGCATACGCAGTTGTTATGGGAGGGGGAAAAATAATATATGTAACAACATATAGTAGATGCCTCTTCTTCTCCATGTGATTTCTGAACATAAAAGGAGGTTTCAGCTTAATAAAGCCACTTTATTAAGTTTGTTACAAGATAATAAGATACAAAAAAAGCTGAATTAATGGAAAATGCAGAATCACAAACCTGGGGTAGATTGTTTGCTACCAAGGGAGGAGAGGTCGGCAGGGAGTATGCATGCCTGAGTGATTGAGGTTAACATTAATGAAGGTGTGTTCGTGGCAGACTGGCAGTCAGTGTTTTTGTTTTTTTTTTCTTTTCCTTCACACTGAATCTACTATAAATGCTGGCATTCACTTTTTGTAGCCAAGCTAAACATACACACAGATACTCATACTGGAGATAGTGTATCAAGTTTGCAAATCACTACAGCCACCTCAAATATTTGCTCAGGTATACACTAGTCTTAGTATTCCTTCAAATCTGCACCACCCTGCAATTTTGTGTGACAGCATGTTGTAGTTTTGCAGATTACAAAGAATATTACTGATATCAAAATTTCATATCCAGAGTCATTAGTATCCATTGTTGCTGGATTTAAATTGGAGAATGATCTTTAAAACTACAAGGTTACATCTGTATCTAATCTTACATTGTTTAATAAATAATATACCAAAAAGCCCTAAACTGTTAGGTTGCCATAGTTGTCTATGGATTAAAGCATAGCTGCAGCAAAGCTGGTGAAGAGGAGGATATCAGAGATAAAACCTAAAAAATCTCAGCAGATAAAACTAAAGTTATCTCTATTATTCAATACAGCAATAATTTGAAATAGAAATAAATACAAGTCACCGTGAAATATGTTACTGTGTCTTTGTGAAGTTAAGACTGGGAAACCAAGGTGATTTTGAGTCTTCTGTAATCAATGAGTGAGCGTTATCAACAAGAAAATTGAAGGTTCCATATTGTAGAAAGTGAACACTTTTCATATTACAGCACTTCCAAGTTTAAAACTCTCACACGACCTGCCGTACTGTCTCCTTTTGTAGAAGCCAGTACGACAGGATGTTCCTGGTATTTTGGTGAAACGTTTCACTGATCCTCTGTCCATTATTAAATGGCTCCCAGATTGGATTTGCTGATACACAGTAATATTACTTTAATGATGGAGCAGCTTTATACTGTGAGCCAAAGTCTCCTCAGCCTGGTGTCTGCAGGATCCCTTGCCTTGTATGGTCATGTTATTGTGACACGGCAGAATATACTGTAAATGGTGCCGCTTGAATCACATTAATACAGACAATGCTGACACATGGTATGTTAGATTGTGCAATGTGCAGATACTGCAAGCCAGACAACACAGTGCTTTAATATTTTATGCGATGTCTGTGTTTGCAGTGTCAGGCGAGCAGTATGGGCGCTTGGAGTCGAATGTGACACTGGCATGCAATAATTCGGAAATCAGGTAAGGAAGAAAAAAGAGCAACACACTAGCACATTTGTTGTGGTGTTGGAAAGAGTTGTTCACTATAGCATCTCCATGCATTTGCACGCAGAGCAAATTTGTCATAAAGGTTTTGATGATATTAATTGATATACTGAAAAACTGTTAGACTCATTGCTTTTCTTAGTTATTTTCTTACTCAGAAGGTTCATTTTTAATGTTGGTGTCAAAAGAAGTTTGCCATAGTCCCCAGTGTCATCGGCCTAGAAACCAGTTTGCGGCCATCTGTTAACTACCATTAGGGTCATTAGGGAAGCTGTTTCGAGAGTGGTTGCTGGAGTGTGCTGTGAATTCAATCGCTAAGCCTCAGTCATATTGGCTTAAGGCCAGTCAGTCACTGGTAACCACTGGTCGCTGGGGAATTGTGCGTGTATTCCCAGAGCTGTTGCAGGAAATTGCTTGCTTTTGCCAGGTTAAATTCATTGCAAAGAAGTACATGTTAATGCCCCCAAAACCTCCTCTGATTACTTTGGTCACTTCAGTTTGCTGCTATTTCCTGTAGTATGTAGGGTAGACATTGAATTGACACACAAAGACTTGCCACTTACTTGCTAAGATGCAGTGCAAATCAGGAAAATATAATGTTGCACCTTTTTAAATGTGCTGGTTTCAGCTGTAAAGCACAATTTTTCAAGTTTTACTACAATTTGGTGGTTTGGTGCAGATAGGCCAGGGTCTTGGGTGAACCATGGGTGAATGCGGCAATCCTCTAGCAACCAAAGCAATCACAAGGAAGTTTTTAGTACTCCTTCCTCAACCAATTTTAGCCAACAACCACTTGCCAGCCAATAGGAATATATTTTTCACTAGTGACTGGAGGTTGCCAAGTGGTCTTTAGGCCTGCTTAACCGAGGCCTTAATTACAACAAAGAAACTTAACAGCAGATATCTTACTTAAAAGAAAAACCCGTAAGCTTTACAGAGATGAGACAAAAATAAGATACTACACATAACTGAAGCATAATGCCAGCAAATTCCATAGGAAAAGATTCTGAAGAATTAGTTGATTATACGAACATATACTGTGTCGTCCACAGGACTATAGAAACCTTATCTTTTTATGGCGTATACCTAATTGCTCAAATGGTCAGTCTCAGGTATATTCATGCCTTTACTCTACTGCTAAAATTGTTCATTGTCCTGTAGTGTATTGTATGTGCCTTCATCCTGTTTTTGTCATGCTTGAGTGAAGCACTGGCGTGTTTAACAGTAGTTTTCTGCCCATACAGTTACTATTGGCTTCAATAGCTGCAAGTTAACAGTTATCATTAATTTGGTTAACTTTACTTGCACCTTTCTTGTCATAATGCAGCTAAATAATGTACATGACTTGACATGAATAAGGACGGCTTCTTAATGGCATCAACAAACTGTGCATTTTGTTATTGTTTGACTTACATAGCAGAAGAAAGTAGTGTGTTGCTCAAAAAAAGTAATAAGATGTACTTCTTTATTTTAAACAAAAGGGGGGCTGGCACAATAAAAATGAATGTAATATAACCTGTACTGATGTTGTGTTAGTTGTAGTTTCTTTATAAATGAATGTTGTAACATGTATGTTTTTGATATTAGGTGCTTACTGTTATTGTTCTAATCTAGGATTGGAGTTGAGATAAAGTCCCCTAAAGCATAATAACCAAAGTCTAACATGTCCCTGACTAGGTTACCTGTGTCGTGGCATCTCAGCCACAGCGCAGTGTTACCATGGCATCAAGTGACACCAAATGGAAGCTTAGTCCTGCTGCGTGTCAACCATTCAGCGCAGGGCACCTACAGCTGCTATGACAACAGTGGGCGGCTCCTCCGTTCTATAAAACTCAGGCTGGGCCGTAAGTGTTCCTGTGACTTGTTAAGCTTGCTCTTAATTTATGGGTTAGCACCATTAAAAAGGTCTGTTCTGTATCTAGTCTTTTGGCATGGGACTGCAGCCTTCAAAAATTCAGTTTTCTAAGCAGAAACCTGTTTGCATCCCTGTGTTACAGGCCCCATGTATACAGTAAGTCTCCCAATCCCCTACAGATCTTAGAGGAAGTTTATGTTTGTGCCCCTGAGAAATTCTCATTTCTTTTACAAATTTATCTCAACATGTTTTTATTTCCCTCTGGATCTGCATTTTTAATGAAGGAATTTAACAGGACAACTTACTGAAACAGTGATAATCAGAGCACCAATGCTGGTCCTCAGAGGAAACTGGTCTTATCGTTTATCAATTAGACAAAATTGCCTCCCACTTCCTATAACTGTCTTGCACAGGAAGCATCTCCCTAAGTAGGCTTCCTTTTGAAGTTCAGGGAATTTTTCCATGGTACTGGTCATTCAATATTTTGGTTAATGTGCAGGAAACTAGGGCACAGACACCGAGCTGTTAATTTTAGACTTGAAGACAAGCCATATAAACTTTAAAATATATAACAACTTATAACAGAGCTCTGAAAAACATCACTCCCTTTCTATCCTGAAAATGATCTATGCCTTACTACTGTTCCCCAGATCCCCCTGGGCGGCTGACCATTTCCTGTCAAGTGCCCAATCACACACATGTTCGCTGCTCCTGGGTAGAAACTGTAAAGACCTTTCTGCCAGCAGAGTATAATGCCTCCTTCAGGTAAGAGCTAGTTACTGCACAGAGTTGAATTTTGAATGCAGTGTGTATAGTTTGAGTAGTATGCTAATATATAGTATATATCAAATTATCCTTCTTTGAGTCTGCTGTTCTTCCTCCAACTTGTCATATGGCTCTTAAGCTGGGCACGCATACCTTTGCAAACTGTAGTGTTCTCAAACAGGAAACAATACACATTTAAAGTGTTTTCATGGACTGCAGTAGACACTAGCAGGAACAAGACTGACTCTTAAGGACTGCTGAGTAAAGATTAGACATTCAGCTGGTGGACAATTCAACAAATAAATAATAAGTGTAAACAAATACAGTCACAATATGACTTTTCTACTCTGAGATGTAAGCATACTGAAGCACTGAACCACAAAAGGGCTATTAGATCTGTTACCTTTTTGCTGTTGAGGTAAATAATTTCACTTGTGCCATTGTCATTTCTGTTCATTTTATCTTTTGTCTCACTGGTAAATGTTTGGCACACTTCGAAAAAATTCTTATTGGGAAACACTAGAAGAGACTGATTCTTAATAATTCATCTGGAATTTACAGACCACACACTACACAGCTTTATCTGGTCACTGTAAACACCATAAGCCTTGGCGGAACAGACTCTCAGAGCTGACATGTACACACTACATTTATATCAGCCTGACATTTATTTAGAGGCTTCAGTATTGAGCTGTGGTGAATTGGTTGTACTATCTTTGCTGTTTTTAGCACATATTTCAGTTGTCATTAACTCTAAATAGCATTTTTTGTGTGTTTTTAAGCAATGGTAAAGAGTGGAGCCCATGCATCGTGGACGTCACCCAGAAGCACTGCGATGTAGTTCACCCTGCTTTCTGGCAGCCCATCCATACCCTTAGAATCACAGAGACGAATGCACTTGGGTCTAAGAATACAACCGCCAGTGTTAAATTACACGAGCTATGTAAGATCACGCTAAACACACTTGTGTAATATAGACCTCATATATACATTACATTTTAAGGATTTTTTTCCCATTTCCAAAATATTACCTGCATTATGAATAAACACACAAAACAAATTCTGGGAACACAAAGTGGAATTTCACACATGCACAGGTAAAGTTAAAGCAAACTGGTGTGTACAGAAGACAATGCATCATGATATCTAATGACACACGCCTGTCTTTGTTACTGCTGTTATGACCATGCCCTTGTGATTCTCATATTATGACCTAATTCATCCTGTTTTGCTGCATCACTGTCAAAGATTTACAGTTAACAAACAGTCAGGTGAATAAACAACACTGAGACACTTGTGTAGGTTAACGTGCTGCACGGGTGAAAAGCTCAGAGCGAATCACCCCGAACTGCAGTATTCGTTTATTTTTATAGGTTACATCGTCAATATGCAAATATAATCACATTTCCTGTTACGCAGGTCCTGATGCTGTCTGTGTGTAAGCTGTGTGTGTGTGTCACAGAGTATGTGTGTTGCAGGTCAATTTCTAAGAATAATATAATGCAAGTCAACTTCTGCGGATATGTATTTCTGTACTGGTCTCTTGCGGTAAATGCCAGTGTCACAGGGTCAGCTTCCTGTTTCTACAGAAAACTGTGTCTGGTGAAATATGTATAACATAACTTTTGAAGAATAAGCAAATAAAACAATAAAAACTACCTAACAATCACTGTCTACATTTTCACTGCTCTCGAATAGAGGCGTTCATAGCTGTTTGAGATCTGTGAATGGCCATTAGATGTTGTTCACCATTTTTCCCATTCTCTGCATTTTTGTTTAACACACAGGTGAGGGCAATATTTAAAACAATGACAATAGTTAATGAAATCATTGAAGTTAAATTGGATTCATTGTACCAGTTGTACCAGGTCATGATTTTGTTTCAACATACTTTATTTCATTAACGTCATTATTTTAGAGTTTTTGATCACCAATAGTAACATCAAAGTAAAACAGCATGAGAGATTTTGTATGTTTTTTGCCCAGTGAAAATAACAAAATATAATACTTAATCAAATTTGATTTAATCCTGTGTTTTCCAGTAAAACCAGACCCTCCAGAGTCAGTGTTGGTGAAGGAACTTGGAGGGTATCCAAAGAAGCTACTGATCTCATGGAGATTTCCCTCTTCCTGGCCCCAGCATGATGCTTTTCCTTTGATATTTCATATCAGATATAGGCCACAGGGCTCTATGTTCTGGTCAGAGGTTCGTAAGCAAGACCGTTGATTTCACTTCAATGTCGATGGGGTTGTAGTTAGGAATAAACTTGAACATGCACATTGGAGAAAATATAAAAAATGTTTCAAATATTTTACCAGCAGTTGAAAATAATTTTTTGATTTCCAACTGATAAAGCACAACTTTCTGCTTTTATAAACTGAGATAAAACATTAAAAGCCGCACAACTGTTTCACTGTTTTTGTTTTGGTAGGTCACTTTAAACACACTACAGCTAAACACAAGGGGGGAAGTGTTGGTCATGAACTTCTGCATTGCGGTTTCTTTGTTTTAACTTTCCAAGTTGACTGCTACCATCTTGTGTGTGTGTGTGTGTGTGTGTGTGTGTGTGTGTGTGTGTGTGTGTGTGTGTGTGTGTGCTCCTTCCCTGACATGTTTCTCTCTCTTTTTAACCAGATTTACTCTTTGGATAATTCAGTTGTAATATGGGACGCTCTGGCAGGCCACCTTCACCAGGTTCAGGTCCGAACCCGTGATGAAATTAACGCGGAGAGCCAGTGGAGTGAATGGTCTCCTCTGCTACTCGGCAGGCCCTGGGAAGGTAGGAGGAAAAATTAAAGTAGTCCGTATCAGTCATTTTATTTTGAGAGTAAATTTACGATGCAAAAAGCGATCAATAAATTAAGGCATTATATAGATTTGATTAAAAGGTAACACGATCAAATAATTATCTTTAAATACACTTAAAGTTGAATCACATTCAGTTAAGAGTAGTATTAGAACTTTTATTAAAGGCTTTGTACTATTCCTGTCTACTGACTGAAGTAAAAAACTTACTCTGGGCCTGTGTTTGCCTTACAGACTATACCACCCCTGAGCCTGATGTGGAGCCAGAGGACATCTTTACTCTCCCAACCAAATCAAAGCCTGAAGCCTCCACTCCAAAGTCACGGGGTAAGACACCAAATGAAAACTGTTATTACAATCAGCTATGTTGGGGGTCAACTAGAGTGCAGCTAATGTCACTAGATTAGTACTACACCACCTAGGTTGCTACCACAATTACCACAACCCCTTTTAGCACTACTAATATTAGACCTGCTCTGTAACAGTTGCTATTACCGTTTCATTACTAAGTAATTTTAACCATAAATGATTTTCATTTATTAGCATGTTTTTAGCAGATTGTTTTTTTCCGCTCTCCCTCTGTCTAGATTTTACTCAGTTATCTTCAACAGCTGAGAAGCTGAGGCATTATTTACAGTTATTAGAGGAATTAAACACATAGCAGTAGAATGAAAATTATGTTTATATATGCATTTTGCTTTCCTATAGCACTTAGAAAGGTCTTTCTGGTTCTTTGACCCAATAGCCCCTTGAATTAGTGTGGATGGCCTGACCTTATGTTTTGTAAAAGTTTTACAAAACATAAGACATTTTTAACTCGAGAGTCCCAGACTCCGGGTTAGGTTCGGAGAGTAGTCTGGCACTTAGTTGTGGTTGTCAAACTTAAGGGTAAGAGGCTTGGGGATGCGTTAATGTCTGCGATGTCATCACAAAGACAGCCAATTATACATTTCCCTTGTGTGTATGTGTGGTCCTCCTCCTCCCCCTCACACATAGCATGGGGTAGACAGCAGTCACTGTGGAGGAAATACTACTATCAGAGAACAATTTTTAGCCAAAATATGAGCACCTCTTGTCCAAGTGATTTTTAAGTGCACTTGATACTGCACTTACTCCAGTTTCCAGTAACATGCCCAACAAGTTTGAAGTGGATCAGATGAACAGTTACTGAGATAGAGGGGAAAAAAGAGAAATATGTTTTTTTAATGATGTAGGTGTCCTTCAGTGTATCTATTGGCCCTTTTTTGAGCATATATTAGATGAAAATGATTGAAAACCACTGAACTATGCGAATCATAGCCTAATAAGCGCAAGACGAGATGTTTTTACCTTGTGTTTTGGTGGCATTGAGAAGGCTCATCGGGCATTGATGCAGCAGCAATCTCTAGGAAGGCATTTATTATGGTTATTACTTGTTACTTGATAGAACAGTGCAAGTAGCTTGTGCCTGGCTTCATCACCAAATTACATATAATTGCAGTAATTGGCACCTGTGGGTTGTCATGTTTTCTACGATGCTGTGTGCACACTGGATGAAAGCAAAGTACATGGCAAGCTCAGGTATACATGGGAAAAAAACAGAGTTAAAAGCAGCCTGCAGCTGCAAGCATGCCGTCTAAAATATACACATCCAGGATACGCACAACAAGTATACACCCACCCACACGCAGTATATACAAGGAGACAACTACAGGTTTGGCAGTGGAGGACAGGCTAAAAGCCTGTGACTGGTGCTGTTGGATTATTTAAACTGGTGTCCTGTGAAGCAGATGTCTTCTTCTATTTGTGTCAGCGTGTGAGAGAAAGCACTGTCGTTTGCAGATGTGCTCATAAATCACCTTTTAATGCTGTCAGTAATATGCACTTTTGCTTTTTCGTTTTTGGATGTGTTGGTACTTTTACAGTTCGGGTTGATGTTTTCTCTCATTTGTGTATGTGAAAGCGAGTTGTTTACTCCTCTCAGTATAATAAATGCATGTTTGGATGAAAAGCCATAATGGCAGATTTCAAATTAGCTTCTCACCAGGGAGTAATTAAATCCAGGAACACACACAGCTTTTTTTCTTTCCATTTTTGTCTCACATAGATGTGTAAACTTCTTTTTTTTTCTCCCCATGTTATGCCAATTTGGACTTTTATTGTATTTATTTCACTGCACTTTTACATCTGCTTATTCCATCATGTGTGCGTTCGTCTCTCTGCAATGTCCTGTGTGAATTCTGTCATCTGTCCTTCTCTGTACCTCCCACCCTGCTTGTTTTGCTGAACCTCCCTTCTCCTCTGCTCCTCTTCTCTTCCCACCCAGGTTCTAAACACGGGGATGAAGGTAATTTAGGTCTGGTGATTCTCCTGGTTTTGTTCTCAGTGGTCATCCTCACCACCATCTTTTCCCTCATCTTTGTTGTGTGGTAAGAAAAATACACACACAGGCATATCCCACATCCACAGTCCATGACTGTGTGGTCTGTGTCTCTGTTTTAGTTTGAGTAACATTTTTTTTCTTTTTTTCTTTTTTTTTTTTTGGATAGCCTGGCATTCTTAAAGTTTTTGTCAGTCAGTGTTGATGTTTCATTTTGTATATCCAGGATGAGACAGAGGCGACGTGATCATGCCACCAAACAAGAGCTCACCTCTATGGTCAAGATGAAGTCCATCCCAATCTAATGTAAGAAACTGTTACTATTTTTTAGAGGCTTTTTGCCATTTTTATTCCCCCCCTTACATAAACTATGCTGCATATGTGAACATACCTGTCTGTTTTTGTGTTTAGATGAGCACATTTGGGAGTTTTGACAGTTTCAGACATTTCAATGGTGAACAGATTCTGTGGCAAGGAGATAATTAAACTCCTAATTAAATGTCACTTCTTTCAAATTTGTATAAGTACAGCAAAATGCCCTCAAAAGAGCACTAAGCTAGTGAGCCACTGCCTAAAGAAGAACCAAAATGGTTCAAAAGAATGCTATAAACAACATTCAGACAACCCTTCAGATAGCTAGCCAACTTGTGATTATAAGGCTAACACACACACACACACACACACACACACACACACACACACACACACACACACAGATTATAACCCTCTAAGTATGGCTGTATATCTGTCATCTAACTCTGCTATTTAAATCTGTGCTTTTGTAAAACCTTTTTCCCTCCTGCTTCCCTCTACTCTGCTCTCCTTCACGTGCTCCCTTCCCATCTTCATTTTTCATCAGCTTTTTCTCCTCTCATCTCAGGTTAATTTGAAACATCTTCAACCCATCAGCCCCTTCTGGGGTTTCACCAGTGTGTCAGCCTGTACCATTCCCCGCTGTTAACATGCTGACCGTCCGTATTTGGCTATATTAACCACAGAGCGTCATTCAAGAGTCCATCCAGAATCCAAGGCAGCAGGAACTAACTCATGTAAAGAGGTTGACAAAGTAAGGTCATTACCAGTTTATATCGGCTGACTGATGGACAGTTTTTTTGAAAGATTTCCTTGGACATATTCAGTGACTACAAGTGCACTACCCATAATGCAACATGAGACTCCTACCTGCCGTCCATGGGTATAGGGACAGTCCTCTTCACTTCAGCAATGCTCACTACTACACACGACTGTAGGAGCAACACTGCACAGGGACATATGAGTTCACTCATAACCAGTGCTCTGTCAAGTCTCCCCAAACATTTTTTTTAAACTTTTAAGCAACAAATAAGGAAAAACAAGTGCAGCTGCCAAACAGGAGCAAAGGGGAACATTGTTTCTGGAACAACTCGTCACCCAGAACTCCTCACACTCTCAATCACTGTGAGAGGTAACACATGTTCATTCTCACCTCGACTGATTGACCGACTCAATGCTGTGAAGGAAGCAACACTTCTGCTAATTTCTGTGCGTGTCTGATGCCAAAGAAGCAATGACGGGCATTATGGGCTCAGGTGGGAGGCAGGGAGCAACCTGTCACCTGCTGCTGGCATGAGGGAGAATATGGACATAGAGAATGAGGTCCGGGGTTTAATAGACTTTGTTTCATTTATGACAAGTGATTTTATGTTGCATGATATCCCTGTTATGTTGTCTGGCATATTAAGTAAAGGTTTTTTTTCTTTTATTGTAGTTCTTTCTGTCCATCCATTCACTGTTTCTAAATGTGTGCGAATGAAAGACTCGCATAAAAGAAAGAGGGAAAGATACTGGCCTTTCACAGATCACCAGCATTATGAAAATACATGGATTCTTAGTCATCTAGAGAATATTAGAGCATACATATTCAGCTGTTTTGTCAATGCCAATAATGCCAATAATAATAACCCCAGGGTCATTGTGTTAAAAAAAATGGGAGTATGTTTTGTTCAGATTCATTATTAAGTCAAACCATGAAATCATAAGAAAAAGAGGAAAGTAGTAAATCTGAAGAGCTGGAACTTAAAATTTAATTGGAATAGATGAAAATTGTTGTCATAAACTGACTGGTGTAGTCAGCCTTTTAAAGACAAAATATGACATAATGAGGCCGTTAAAAAAAGTTTCCTTATCATGTTTTTTATTTTATTTTTATTTTTTTAATAAATTACAAGATTAGAGTGATGTTACTAATGAAATGAGGGCAAAGGTTTAGATCAAAAGGGGCCCTCAAAGGGCCTTTGAGGGGACAAAAGCAAAAAGTGCTACAAAGTAGCTTGCTTTATTGTAACACGAAACATGGAAAGTGATGCAGAAAGTGCTGCATTTGATATCATTAGGAACAATGTGTGTACTCGCACGCCTCATATCTGTCCATACACGAGAGAGGTGCATTCTGGGTGGTTACTACGGTCTTGTTCACCATAGTAACTAACATCGAAAGGGGTACGCAGCACTAGGCTTTCACTGCAGTTACTAAAATGAATGTAAACGATGGTTTTAGGATGCTGATTTTTCTTGGGGTTTTTGTTTGTTTTTTAGGGGACATTTGGGGAGAGGAAATAAACAGCGGGGCATTGGCACAGATCGAATAGTTGCCATCAACTGCAGAGATTGTACAAGAACCACCTGCATCAGCTGTTCAATTAACCTTTGAGTTTATGAGGTAGATCAGTGCATGCTGGGCGGTGGTGGAGATGAGCACGCACGCAATAAACTGACAAGAGTAACCCTCGCTCACTGTACATCTGTCTCAAAACCCATCGCCTCACGGAAAACACTCGATTTCTGGGTGGCCAACACTTAAAAATACCTCCGATACAGCTTGTCTGCTTTAGTCCTGCTTTTCACACCTGTGCCTATAAACCTTGTGTCCTGCTAGCTTTGCACCACAGATGGAACCGAGAGGCTCTTCTGCTTGAGAAGCAATTTTTCTTTCTTTCTTTCTGCTGGTTTGGTTGTTACATTCTGCTCATCTAAGGCTGTGTAGTTTCTTTTGCTGGCTGTCATTTCAGAAACACAAGGTGCATCCAAGTCCAACTTTTTTTTGTTTTTCCCAGTTTGGCAACTGTATTGTCTCTCAAGCTAGCTCCACATATTATGCATGGATCCAGTTGAAGCTTTTTTGTATATTATTGTATATCAAACTTTAAAAAAATGCATACCTATGTTATATGTGGTGTTTATATGTAAGGAAAAAACATAATCTTTGGGGTAGATTGACAGACATGGTTTAGCTCAGTCTTGTGTTAAGGACATTTCTTTTTAATAAATCTGTCATTCTACACCAATATTACATAGGTAAATGCATTACATGCTCCCTGTCAATCACTCTAGGTCAATACTAAAACTCATTGGACGAATTGGAAGTGAATACAGTGTCAATGAAGGGAGACTTCAATAGTATTAATAGCCTGAGCTAAGCCATTTCTTGTGAGTCTTCCCAGCATTGTGTGTGTGTGTTTTTCCCCCCAGTTATATGAAGCTGTGTTACTGTACGATTACTGTATGGACAACGTGTTTACTGAGTTAGTCCTTATCCAATGTTTAATTCCTTTTTTTTTTTTTTTAAATAGAACCACAAATGGATGTTTTCTTTTCACTGACACTCTCCTTCCTCCATTCTTGTGGCAACATTCACAAAGACAGTGAAATATTTAAAAAATTATTCACAGAGTCAATTTGAGAACCCGCCCTTTACTTCCTTTTTAAATTGTGTTCCAGTAAACTCGGGGCTCTGATGGATGCGAGATATAAAAGGATGCATTCGGAGCTTTTGTACTAGAATGTGCACACAAATTTGATTTTAATTTCTTCTGTTTTTTGTTTTTGTTTTAAATATTACTATTGGTGCAATGAATGTCATCTTTTTGTCATTTAAAACAATCTTTGTAGCTGAATCTTTGTATAGTAAATTCTTTTTCTTATGCTTGTCTTGTCCTTCCAAGGTCCAGTCAAAAAAAACTTTAATCAAGAGTGAACCCACTACCTGCTCTCTGTGTGACTTTTATACTAAATATTCAGTTTTATAAGGCCAAATTAGGAATTTAAAAAAGATGGTAAATATAACATAGAAGCCACTTTGCCATAATTACTGGATTTACAGGTAATAAAGTTAATATTTTTCCAATCTACACAGTAATGTAAAAGTGAAATACCTGTTTTAAAGATATTTTTATGATAAATATTCAAAGTAAACTTTGATAAATTGTATAAACCATCCATCAGATTCAAGTTTCCGGGCACAGTGCCATATATTTTAAAAGGCGCCTATAAATAAGATGTGTTTTTACTATTACTATTATTATCATTATTATTGTTATATCAGTGACTGTTGTTCACCCTGTCTATTTTGTTTTTAAGGGTTCAATGTGACATGTTTTCTGTAAGTGTATGCCTATGGAGTTCTTTCTGTCTTTCTTGGTGTTTTTGTTATTTTTTTGTTTTTTTCTGTGTGGACAAACTTCATTTACAGTCTGTTCCTCTGCGATATGTGACAGTTAGAGGAGCCTGTTGACTTTTAGTTCTCGCAACTCCGATGAAACTCAGGCATCCATTCTCAGATGTACATAGTCATTTTTGTTTCCTCGTGTTCAACAAATATCACCATAAGCTGTTTTTTTTTTTTCTTCCTTCCTGTCCTGGTGTCTGTGAAATAAAAAAAAACTATTTTATCACACTTCTATTCCTTTTTTTTCCTCTTTTGTTTCCCATGAAAATTCAATGTTATGGTTCACTAACCTTTTGTCCGTAGTTTCCATTATCTTTTCAGTACAGCTGCGCATTTGTTTTATAAAGTTTATCTACTTCCTTGTGTATCACAGTTTATTCTTTGGTTGTTTGATGGAAAAAAAATCCAATTGTCTAGAGTTACTCAAAAAAAAAGATGTCTGTTATTGTTTGGTTCTTTGCGTTGTGTAAAAGCTGAAAGAATTTCCCCTTAAGGCCTTTTCTCTTTGAGGCAGTTTCTGACGTCTAAATGCTTAAGCTACCTTTTCTTGTCTTCGTGACAAGGAATTTTAAGATGAATAATTAGAAGGAAATAACCCCGATATTCTCATCACACTTTGACAACAGTCTTATTTGTGGTGCAGGGGGGTTTAGCGCAAAGATACTTTGTCGTAGACAGACAAAGTTGGTGGCACCAGGTAGTGCTACTAATAAAGTCAAAGAAGGGTGATGAATATCTCTACACCATGTAAGGAAATATAACATAAAAGGCAACGTTTGTGGTGCAAATAAGACAAGTCTTCATTGTGGCTCTCAGTGCTTCTGTTTATGCCTATCATAACAGCCGTACATTATAGCTCAGAAACCTTTGATATTTAAATCTCATAGTGTACTTGGTGCAGTCGGGCGTGACACTCTCAGCCAAATAAAGAGCTATAATCTTGGTGATAAAAGGAAAAAAATGCACAGATTCATTTTCCAATCTGCGCTTCTGTTTGAGCAGTGTAAATCAGTTGGAGCAAGTATAAACGTACTGTGAGTGGAATACACACAGTATTGTATTAGCACATTGGCACAAGGGCTTTGTACTGACCCTATAGGTCAGTTTAAGACAATACCACTTAGAAAGATAAAAGCTGTTATTGCTCGTGTTTGCCATCGTTAGTTTATAAATGGAGGTAACTGTCTTATGTTACCAACAGTGAGCTTTGCCAAGTAAGCCTTTTGGTTAATGTATCTCAGACCAGACAATTACTGTATATGCTTAGTGTTTCATAGCTGTGCACTCAACTGTGCTTAACGAGGGATCTTAGAACATTTATCCCACCAGGCATGCACTGTGAAGCAGGATTTTGTCTCCGGTAATGTCAGGGTTAACCTTGGCTTTTTAGGACTATGAAGGTGGTTCGTTTCTTATCAGGGTTTGTCACTACAGTAACTTATGCTGGAGCAGGGCCTGAAAAAGTCAACAATCCTTCACAGATAACTTCCTTTGTGAGGTTTGAACCCAGAATCTCCTTGCTCTAAGGTGACAGTACTCACCACTGAACCAAAGTCTTATTAGACCAAAGGCTGCATTTATCTGGGTTTTTTTTGACACTTCACTAAAACTTTTCTGGTAAAATGCTGCCTCCTGGTGGTGAAAGGTTAAGACTGGCAGTTTGCACATTTGCCTTTCACACAAAAAGATCTCGGAGGAGGCCTGAGCTAGTGTACTCCTACTGCTGGACGAAAGCCCAGAAAAATAGGATTGTGTCAGGATGTTAAATCAGTGCCAAATCAAACACGTGGATCCTCTGCAATCCCGTGGAAAACAGGGGAACAGCTAAAAGTATGCCCACCCCCCTCATTTCTTTATTTTTGAGCAAATAACCAGACCTTACCCCGTGACGAAAAACTTTCAGAGCCCTTAGAGAACTTCAGAAAGATGCAAGTCATTATACAAAAACACAGCAAATATACACAGGATACATTTTATTGAGATAAAATAACACTACATTAAAACTATCTTGTTACTATATACTTTACTATTAACCAAAAACATATTTGTCCAAAAATACAAAACATTATTTTAAAGCACAAAACTTAAATAGTGCAAATTCCAACACTTAAAGTCATATGGTAAACATAAAAGAGAAAATGACACTGGCAGTTAAAGTGGGACAACAGCCAGCGTGTAAATTCCTTCCATAAGCACTAAACTTCAAGTTAAATAAGTGTAAAGTGGAGGCCGGTGCTCTGTTTGCCACTGTTAAAGCTGTTTTTCCGCATCCTGGTAGTCATAAGCAAAGCTTTACAATGCCTTTGTCTTCTATGTTGGTTTTGTTTTATTTAAAACTCCAGTGTTACTCAACGCTTCTGTTACTCAAACAGTTGTTTCCGATCCGTTCCGTGACCCTTCCAAGAAAGTAGCAACAAAACAGACAAGCCTGTAATAAATCAAATAAAGAGCACTTCAAACTATTATGTACCAGCAAGTTTGTTTGTTTTTCTTCCCCCAAACAATGAGCACTTTTCAAACTTTCTCCCCCTCATCCATTATTTTATTTCACAATCACAACTAAATATTCCTGACTTACCTCCACTTACTAATGGAAATAAATAAATAAATAAATAAAGATCATCAAAAGTGAAACTACAGTAGCCACCTAGTGGAAAACAGGCACAACTACAACCTTAATCACCAAGCACCAGCTTTACAAAAATGTATCCCTGTTTTCCATCTGGAAACAGACAATTCAAGTCCACCTTCTCTTATACTGAAAGCATGTTGCTTATATTCAAATACCCATTTCTAAACCCACTATAATACAACATTACTAAGCATCATTTAAACCAGTGTATAATACTGTTAATGAGTGTTTATGTTATTTGGTCTACATCTAAAAACAGTGTAATGACAAAAACTCTATATGTGGTATATCTTTGCTGCTGATAATGCAGCAAAGTGATTATAATGAGTGAAAACAAACAGTCCTGCAAACCCCGTTTTCACCGCTGAAAAGCTAAATTTCAGCATATAGTCCAGGGGTGTCCAACTCCAGGCCTCAAGTGTCAGGTGTCCTGCAGGATTTAGATGTGTCCTTAATCCAACACAGCTGATTTAAATGGCTAAATTACCTCCTCAACATGTCTTGGAGTTCTCCAGACGCCTGGTAATGAACTAATCATTTGAGTCAGGTGTGTTGACCCAGGGTGATATCTAAAACCTGCAGGACACCGGCCCTTGAGACCTGGAGTTGGACACCCCTGATACAGACTGTACCTCACACTGTTAGCCATATAAATATGGCAGCATTATGGGAGGAAAAATGCTGGAACCACGCACAGATGATTAACACAGCATGTCCCCTTTCTTCCATTTTGATGATCTAAATCTAAACTCAACTTTTTTTCAAGTTTCACTCCATGCTGTGTCAGGACACCGAATCACACCGACTTTACTCGTCCGTCACAGTTTTTGCTCAAACGACGAGGGCCGAGCTTGAAGCCGTCAAAGAAATACATAACAGCAGGAAGCCAAAACCTAACTGAGCATCTTTACTACAGCATGTCTTAAAAGGGGATTCATTCCCTTCCTGTGATGATTGACGTGCACAGTAAAGAAGCCTCTGAGCCACATATAACTCACTGTTGGCAAGGTTTCACCTTTGGAATAAGGAGACTTGATGTTATCCATTTCTGTGGCTGGCTCAACTTACCCTACAAACTGATTTCTAAAAACTGACCATTACAGGAAAAGTTATGACTGAGTGCACATTAAGGCTTCTCCAGGCAGGAAAATGAAAGTTGCAGTATGTTGACATGCTGGATATTACAAGCATTAACAGCCAAAGAGGACATTTTGTTTAGCTGCTGGTAATAGACATGGGAAATAAAGAACCGTATGTGGGCAGATTTTTAACGTACTATAAAGAAAAACAGTTTTGAGGTGCACTAAGAGTGAAACTGAAAGACGTCTCGCAGAGCCTGGAATTGATTTTGCCTTTGGTTGACGTTTCCTTCAGCGCCCTTTGAATGAGGCTGGATAGTGACAGTAAAAGTGATGAACCTCCATCGGGGTTTAAGTCTGTGAGGTGTTGTGTAGGTGAGCAAAAAGTTGGGCAAGCCCTGGTAAAAAAGATATGAGTAAAAAGAGGGTTCACATCTTTACATTTAGTCCCCAGGTTATTGAAGAGGATTCTGATACAAATCCATGCCATGAAAAGGAAAACAAACAAACAAACAAACAAAAACAGTGATTGGCACTTATATTGGGATGTTCCCATTTCAAAAAGCTAATTTAGTATTTTACAGCCATCTCCACCAATGAAAAGTCAAACGTTTACTGCTTTCCTTATAATATAATGAGCTTTCTCATTCTTTGTGAGAAAAGAAAACAAAAAGTTTTCATTATTTATGTCAAATGAACTGAAAAATGTCTTCATAGCCATATATACGTGTTCTTCAGAATTTAAAGGTATTTGATAATTATTTTAAATAACTAAGAACATTTTTATCCAAAGGTGATCCAAAGTTGGTGATGCCTTAAACATCGATGGCCACCCCGTGTTTAGTGAATATCACATCTCTGGTTCCCGTCAGGTACATGAGCACTGAACACAGGTGAGGGAGCGTCGCCGTGGTGCTGACGTATAACCAGTATGGGATCGGCGCCGTGTTGCCGAATGGGCACACCCACAGGCCGTGGCGCACTGCATCCCGGACGTGGTGTGTCACCATGGAAATGAAAAGCATCCATGGCAAGGAGCACCAAGCGTCTTTGAGGCGCCCGAGCCACATGAGGAAGCGGAGAGTGAGACAGATGATGGGAATGAGAGAGGAACAGTGCAGCGGTGGACGCTGAGGGAGTGAGACAGCAGCCTGGAAGAGCAGTGAGAGACAGCGTTAGCACCACATATATCCTTTGGAAACATGTCAATCCATGTCAACAGTGTTCTGTACTGTGGAGATCCTGTCATGAGTCATGCTCCAGCACACACACACACATACACACACACACACACACACACACACACACACACGTATGAGGTATAGGGCTGCCACGATTAGTCGACTAGTCACGATTACATCGACTATCAAAATCGTCGACGACTGATTTAATAGTCGACGCATCGTTTGAAGCTTTGTAAGATCACAAAGGACGCAGGAATGAGTAGTAGGATTTAAGAGTGTAATAACGGACTGAAACAGAAGATGGCAGCACTGCATGTACAAGGATGCCAGCTG